AAAAAAAAAAAAGTCACCACTGGTGAAGGCAGTACTGTGGCCATTGGAACAAGTGAGTACGATTGGACAGAAAAGGCTATAAAAAGAAAGAAAAAAAATCCACACTTTCTCCAAAATCCAAGCTTGAGTAAAACAGTCAAAGAACCACACTTGATCAAATTGGCTAAAAGCAAGTTGGTTAACATAATTTGATGGAAAGAACCATTTGGTTCAAAATGAACACCCGTTTCTTTTAAATTTATACACCACTCTGCACTGCCAAACGTTTACATTAGAAAATGTATTATGTCACTTCTATAACTTTTCAAAAAGAAGGAAATGAGTATTTTCAGGCACAGGTCCTTTGAAGAGTGTTGGTGCTGGTAGAAGGTGGTTGAAGCAGTTTAATGGCTTCTCATTTCTACAGGTCAGAAGCCTCCCTGGGAGCTGGATGGAGGACCGTATGGGGAGGCAGGTGGGCTGGAAGGGAATGAACATGAATTGTAGGACTCATCAAATTTCCACTGGCCTCTTTACTACCTTTTTTTTTTTCAGGGGTGGGGGGCTTGAGGAGGAGGGCTGCGGGGAAGGTTAGGGAAGGGGAGAAAACCGTTCCTGGAAAAGCCTGTGCCCGGTAGGCAGCTGTGAAGAGCAAAAAAAGACATCTGACAAGTTTTCAGATTCCTGAAAAAGTAAACCCTTGGGGTGGTGCCCCCAACGAGTGCTAAGGAAGGTCTTACTCGCGATTACTTTTCCTTTACCTATTTTCTCTGTGTATGCATATTTTAGCAAATTTTCTGGGGCGAGAACTCCTGGGGAGGAAACTTTATCCTTCATGTCACCTTGCCTTTTGCAGAAAATTCCTAAATAAAAGTTCGGTGAAGTGAAACGCAAGCACTACCTCCAGGGCGCTTGGAGTAACAGGAAAATAATGAAAATTAGGGGCCAGAGCAACGCTACAAGGAGACGCCTTCGGGGCACCAGGCCGAGCCAGCCAGCCGGGTCCAACCAAGCTCGACCACTGCCACACGCCCCCGTGGCCACTAGAGCCGGGCGCGCGCTTCGATCGCGTCCCCGCGCGGCCGTGACGTCACGGCGTCGGGGCGGGGTCGCCTCCCGATCTCGCGGAAGGGGCGGGCCGGGGGCGGCGGCCCGGAGGGGCGTGCTCGGCCTCCGGAGTGGGAGCGTTTCTGGTGCCCTCGGTGGGCTGCGGCGGCGGAGCAGCGCGCGGGGTCGAGATGTCGGAGCTGCCTAACGTCCGGCAGCGGGGCAACCTGAAGCAGAGTGAGTGGAAGCCGCTGCACCCCGGCTTCGTGCTCGGGCTGGACGTAGGCAGTTCAGTGATCCGCTGCCACGTCTATGACCGTGCGGCGCGGATCTGCGGCTCCAGCGCGCGGAAGGTAATCGGGAGCGGGCGTCGGGGCGGTGGGGCAGGGTCTCGCAGAGGACCCGGCGTGGGTCTCCGGGGGCAGGCGGACGCTTTCGCCTTCACTAGCCTGGATGGGACCCCCAGCAGCGCCGACGGGCCCAGGGCTAAGCATCTGGCTAGATCCCCGCATTCCCTTTCCCCGCGGGGCTGGACCCTGCGCTCCCTTGCAGTCCAGGCTGAGGACGAGAGGCGTCGGGTTAGTGACCTGGGCCGCTCTCTTGCATCCTGCCACCTGGGCACTCGCCCCTCCGGCCTTTCCTGCGTGGGACTTAGGTGACTTGGTAGGGCAAGGCAGGTAGCGCTCATGCAGCCCGAGGGTAGACCATGACTTGCTAGGTTTTTTCCTGGCCATTCTTATTTCCAACCCCGTCTTTTTGCAATTTTTCAAATCTTGTTAAAATTCAAATTTGTTTCTTTAGTCTATTCTTCGACTGTCATCAGTAACTATTCTCAAAGCGCTGGTTCCTCACACTAGCAGCTGATTTCCATAGACGCAGGTGGTATTGGGCAAGTTTTGGGGACTATATTGTCATTAGTTTCCCCATTCCCATCTTTGAGCTGGGATTTCTTTTTTTTTCAGTTTGAGGAATTTACCAAGTCATTTGTCTTTGTTTTAGTAAAGCCTTGAACTGGAATAACACCCAGTGGATTGTTACTCTTCTGTTCTCATTTAATGAACTGTTGATTTCTGCAGTTGCCAGCGTCCCTAAAATAATGGTTCTTTACTTGGTGTTCTCATTTACTCTTCTTCCCAATACTAACATCTTTCATGATAGTAGTGGTGACTAGAGCAGAAGCAATTATTTACCTCAACCATTCCTAGCAATAGTGGTCTCTTGGGTTTCTCAAGCCCCACCTTCCTTGGAAGTGTTTTTCACTGAGAGTTGTCCAGAACCAGGTCTTAACCAGGCTGCAAGTAAGTAATGACTGCTTTGAGCATTTGTTTTCAGGAAACCACACACTTTCATTCAGGTTTCAGGTTCAAGACTTTGAGCTGGGAACCTGTGCAGGAACATTGCCTACACTCCCCATCTATACCCCACCCTGAAGGGCAGGTGAAAAGCAGGCACTGTTGGTCAGTGACTGTGTGTTCCTTATCTTTGCATGGGTTTTTATCACAACACAGTGAAACTTTTCACAGAGGCACAAAGTAATTCTAGGCACAAAGTACATTTTGTTTTAAACAGTGATTTCTTTTTTTAAAAAAGAACTAAAGTGTTGGAAACAAAAGAAACAACTTTCTAACAGATACAAAGTGTCAAATTCAGTATTATTTGGAGAGAATCATTCATTTTTTAGAGCTGAGGGAAGAATCTCAAAGATGAATCAAGATTGCTGTGAATAGTTGGGGGCTAGAATAGTTTAGTTAGACACAACTGTGGAGAAGATAGCTGGAACATTATGTGAGGAAATGAAAATGCAAAAAAAGTCCCTGCCTTCAGAGAATGAAGCACTATCTTAGATAAAGGAGCATGTAGCAGTACTTCAGATTGGTAGGAGTTTAAAGCAGTGTTTCTTAAAGTGTGATTGGTGGGCTGCTCTAGATGAGATAGTGCAAATAAATGTTTAGAAAATTGTGTAGCAGTTTGGCAGACAGGTCTGCTGATCTTAAAGCATTTGGAATTTTATTTTGTATGTTTGTTTTGGTTGTATCTTAAAATATTATTTAGTGAGCAAAGACTTAGAAATTAGGAAAAACCAACAACTGATCCTTTACTGTAGCTAATTGGGATCTTTGGGAAAGAATCTTATTGGCCTACCTTGATACTTAGCATCTTAAATTGACTTGCATTTAATCAAAGTTTTAGAAAAGGACTCTGTAAATTAGAAGTAGAGCTTGTGCCCTTAGTGAAAAACATCACAATCCTCTTAATATTATGATAGAATGAATGTATACTAGAAACACAAAGCCTCTTAATGTAGGACTTGGTTGATTCTGGCAAATAAATAGCTTTAAAAGAGAAAAAAGAAAAACTGAAGAGATCACCTTGTAGAAACAAAATAGACTGTTGGTCTTTTAAATTAAAATTGAAGTATCAAACATGGCCTGAGAAGCCCAGTAGAGGCTTCTCAGAAAAACCTCAACTTTATTTCTTGTGCTTTTTTAAAAAAAAAAAAAAGATTTATTTATGCATACAGAACTGGGGTACAGGCCAGAGGTGCAGGGACAGTGAGAGGATTCACCAGACACAGAGTGGAGAGCAGAACAGGCTGATTGACTAAGTATACTGCTGAGGGGAGTAGTGGCAAGGTCAGGAGAGGTCTGCGGTGCCATGTGGGTCACCTTCAGGGCAGGGATGGAACTCACGCTGAAGTGGCTTTTAGCTTCTTAGTGCTGTGCTTTAACCTGCTGTGCCACCAGGGAGGGCCATCTTGTGGTGCTTTTTTTTTTTTTTTTAGTGGAAATACATTTGTAATTTGTATTATACATCTCCCTATGAATTCTAAAATATCGGGGTCACATATTGGAATAATAGTAAGACTTGGAACTCCTGAATGTGAATATTTGATGTTTTTAGTTTTCAAAAATGGAGGTAATAAACCAGGTGCTAAGTATCAATGTAGACCAACAAGACTCCCAAAGACTCTCAAGACTCCCAAAGAAACCATCAAAGATGAAAGCATTTTGGTTGGAAAAACAGATCAGAAAGGTCATGCCATAGAAAGTAGTGGTGTCTCAGGTGTCTCCAATAACCTTTATCCTCTGTACTATATTTTAAAAATCTGGTTGTTGTTGTTTTTGTTTTAAATCAACAAAACACAGTGTCTCCTTAACTTTGATTTTATTTTTGATCTAATTTTGGCTTGATCTTCCTTTAGTAGAGGAGCAGATTTCACCATCACATGTTTGGACATGGTGAGCTGCCCATGTTAGTGGAGTTGGGGGATTCATTTTTGTAGGATACCGCTGAGGCAGTGGCACCACATTGATTTTTTTCTGGCATGAGAAATATCTTTAGTCATGGAAGTCTTGCATAGAAGGAGTAGAAATACTGGTTAGCAGGGAATTGACGTTAAATCTGTTTCTAAGGAGTTTACTGGGGAATAATAGTCTTTTTCCAAGCTACCATGTGTTACTGTCCTACATTGTCACTGTTTCCTTAGTTCCTTTTTGTCTTTATTTTTTGATCCTTTCTTACATGGTACAGATTTTCCTTAAACTGTGATCTTTGATTGCTTATCTGTTCATATTTTCAGTATGATGTCATACTCTGTTTAGCTCTGTATGGTATTTGCATATAAAGAACTACTCTGTTTCAACCCCTTCAGAAAGTGAATTTACTTTCTGCCAGGATAGGGAGAGACAGTAATCTGGCTAGAGAGGGAACTAGGAATTCTTGTAAAGACTCTGGACCATCCTGTGTTCTGCCCCATCTGGTGTCCCACCCTTTGGAGCAACTGCTGATTTTCAGGGTTCTGCCTTAGAATCTCTGCCAGAGGTTGTGTAAAGATGTGGCATCATTTGAGAGGGGAGTGAGGTATCAGTTTTTTGCTTTGTGCTTAGCTGTATATCACCCACCCACTCACTGTTCAAACTTTGTCCAGTTTGTTAAAATATGGACTGAGGTCGTTTTTTTTTTTCTTTTCACATTTTCCCTGTATATAAATATTCTTAATGTTTCTATTGAAATGGAGTCTTGAGAGGACTGAGAGAGAAAACAGCCTCAAGCCATCATTTTAACTATATGTTTCTTTATTTTATTTTTTAAGTTAACACATAATAGAGTTGACTTTTTGGTCACAAGTTCTATGAGTTTCAGCAGGTGTATATTAGTGACCAAAAAAATTGCCTTTTGCTCTCCCTTCATTGTCATACTATGGCTTTCCTTTGGTGACTACAGATTCCTTCTCCATGACTGTAGATTTGTCTTTTTGAGGATGCCATGTAAGTGGAAACATACAATAAGTAGAAAGAATATTGAAGAGTTCCATTTTTTCTCAGCAACACTTGGTTTTGTTAGTGTTTTTTTTTTTTTTGTAATGTATGCTAGTAGATGTAGAATATCAGTGTAGTTTTGATTTGCATTTCTTTAATGGCTATTCATGTTGAATATTTCCATATGCATGTTTGCCATCCATCTGTTCCTTGATGAAGTACCTGTTCGTGTCTTTTCTCCATTTTTATTTGGGTTTTCCTACTGTTGAATTTTGAGACTTCTTTTATTTTCTGGCTATAAGGACTGCGTTGGATATGTGACTTGCAGATATTTTAAACCAATCTGTACTTTGTCTTTCATTTTCATTACAGTCTTTCACAGAGCAAATATTTTTACTTTTGATGAAGTCCAATTTATCATTTTTGTTTGTTTTAGGAATTGTACTTTTGTTGTCTTGTCTCAGAACTCTTCACCTAACCACAAGGCAAAAAGAATTTCTCATTATTTTATAGTTTACATTTTAGTTTGTGATCCATTTTGAGTTAATTTTTGTAAAAGAGGTGCGTTTTAGGTAGAGGTTCATTTTTTTTTGTTTATTGATGTTTAATTATTCCACCTCTGTTGAAAAACTACCTTTTTTTCTCCATTGAAATGCCTTGTTTGCTCTTCAAAAATCATTATTCATATTTGTATGGGGCTACTTCTGGACTCTACTCTGTTCCATTAAACTATTTTTATGCTAGTAGCTCACTTTTAATTATTGTGACTGTCTTTTAAGGCATAGGGCTGATAGTGTGATTCTTACAATTTTACTTCTTTTCAGACTTATTTGGCTATTTCAGTCCCTCTCCTAGAAGATAAATTTAAGACTCATATTTACATAAGATTCAGCTGGAATTTTGATACAGAATTGTGTACAACATCCTTTTAGTGCTGCTTCTTTACCTTTATGGTGTTCTTCTGATAAGAAATCCATTTGGCTTATTGTTCTGTGTTTGTAATATGTTTGTCTGTTTTAGATTTTTTGTGTTCTTAGATTTTCGCTTTTACATTACATAGAATCTGAATGTTGATGGCTTAAATAATTGAGACA